TGGAGCAAGAGTTTGTTGCAGGGTATTGTGCCTTAGCAGGAAACATAACTTGCATGCTTCAGAAAAAGTGCTCCCAGGGAGTCAACACACTCCAGTGAGTCAAAGGGAGTCCTTAGCACTTTTTATTCCTTGAGGCTTCAGTGATTTCCCTGCAAGTCTAGGGTATTAAATGCACTTGTCTTGGAAGATCACTTTCAAATACTACAGCAGTGACATGACTGGAAGTTACCACCCAGATCACCTGTGCTCTGGCATTATTTGGAATATGAATGCTTTTAGAGACTTGTAAGAAGAAACTGCAAAGATGGTCGAACACTTACCTTTCTCAAACCTCCCACTGAATGTTGCTGAATATTGTCCATGTACTAAAGCAGTCTGTTACCTTTCCAAGAACTAGAAGATGAAGAAAACTGAGGGAGAGCATTCAAGATCACTGATCCTCAACTATACCAGCATTATATATTCAAATCAGACTTTAGGAAATTCTGCACAGTGTGGTCTAGCAATATGTAAGGACTTCCATGTTGTTGTAACTATATATATATATATATATATGTAACGATATATATATATAAAATACTGCTTACTGTCAAAAATCCATCTAAAAATGTGATGTTGAATTTAATAAATATAGGAGAGAAGCAAGAGCTGTTGTAAGAGCTAGACATCTTTTCTTGAGCCAACTGGTATTATTGGAAAAAGAAGGTAAACTCTCAGGCACATACATTCTTTGTGCATAAAGCACAAGCTGCAAACCTCAAATATTACAGCTCAGGAAGTATTACTCTGAGCTAACAATCAGATTAATCAATTAAATATTATTTTCAAAAAACAAACAAACAAACAAAACTTTAGAACACAGAAGACTGTTAACAGAAGTGGTAACATCATGAGTTCATGTAGAGTAGTAGGGATTGGAGAGATGCCATTTGTGGCAGTAGATGGCAAAGTGACGTGCTGTGAAACCGCTGTCTCTCTCGGTCTGGCATATTTAGTAGCTATCAGAGTTATTAAATTTCGTTCATACAGTCATTTTTAGAAGGTTAGGCTGGTGAACCCAGATGTAGGTGAGTTGTCCTGTGATTTTTTTTTTTTTTTTTTGTTTGCTAGTGATTATGTTTCTGAATTTTTCTGTTTGTCTGTTTCTGTACATTTTGGTTGGGTTTGTTCTGATGAGTTGGTGGCTGTTTGGTTTTGTGCATATGATCTGTATGATGATGAAATATGTTGTAGGATGTATGTTCATAAAATCAATGGATTCTGATGATTCTGCAATGCGACAGAGTTGCTTGAAAATAAAACAGGTAGCAAAGTATGCTCAAGGACTTTCATAAGAAAGTCTTGTCAAAGCCTGTATGATGTTCTTCACAAGATCAGGCCTGGCTGTTGGCAAGAATATGCTGCCTGGGCAGCAGGGGAAGGAGTATTGAGAGGGTTCAGGTCAAGGAGGAATACATAGCTTGTTCCTCATCCAGCTTTCTTTCAGAGCTGCAAGTGCTGTCTTACCTTTTCTGCAGACTCCCTTCCTCATGATGGCTGAAGGGACAAGGTGAGATCAAGCAGCTGATGGCAGTAAGGAGATATGGCTTGCTGTGAGCCTGGGCAGGTACGCTTTGCCTCCCACAGCTTTCCAGGGCTGTGAGTTACCTTCGGGTGGGTTCCTAGCGAGCTCCTCAGTTCTCAGAGCCATGAGGAGCTGGGTGATGGCTTCAGCATTTCTGTAGTGGCTGCAAGTATTCCTAGGATGGTTGGATAAAACCATAATTATGAAATTGCCTATATGTTGCTCAGTATGGACGTAGCGCAGACCCAAGGCTTTAAAGCAGTTGCTAAATTTCCCTCCGTCGCACTTAACCTTTGGTGGCCAAGTCCCCTTCCATGTGCATGTATGAAAATTGTTGTGACCTCTCAAGCTTGGAACAAAAATAACTCAGAGGCAAATGGTCTCTACATATTCATTTGAAATTATTTTCTCCACATCTGTTGGTCTAAAAGCTGTATGTCAATCCTGTGCAATGCACCAAGGAAACCTTTAATGAAGTTTATTTTCTACAGGTGGTGATTACAACACTTCTGGGGAGGTGGGGAAAGAATGGCTTGCTTGAAATTTAGAGTTAAGATCCAGTGTAAGTAGTTGGTGATTATGTGGGAGGCAGGAGGGAAAGTAGGGTGTGAGACAGGCTTGATCAGACAGGGATTCAAACCAGGTAGCAGTGCTGGAGCACTTGTGGCAGTGTCTGGTGTCAGTGGCCATGGGCTTGCAGAGTGGTCTCAGGAGACCTGTGCTCAGCGTGGCTCACAGAGATGAAAGCAGCTGCTGCAGCAATGTCAGCCCAGATCAGCTGAGGACATACAACTGCATGTCCCTCAAATGAGCCAGAGCAGCTGGCATGGAGCTCGTGGTATCCTTGCTCTTTGGAGCCAGTGAGAAGGGTGTCGGGAGCATACCTGAGCTGTCCTAAAGACTGCCGCTGCGGTGGTAGCTTGTCGTAACCCCAGAAAGAAATCCGACATAGCAGAGCTAACGCCGCTGCCATCTGATGCAAGGTAGCTTTAATTCAATAACAGGAGCCATGAAACTAGGTTTATTGTATTGTGAAACCAGTCTAATATCTAGGGTGGTGACAAGCTGGTCTTGTGAAAACCTCTCAAACATTTTGTGTGGAAGCAAAGATGGGATCAGCGAGTGTTCCTGCAAGCACTGGGGCTGCCTCTGCACCGTCCTGCCCTTGCTGGGCACACAGGGCATGTGCATGGCTAAACACAGGTCTGGGTGGGGATGGGGGGAACTCCTTGGGTGTCCCAGGTGAGGAAAGCCAGTTAAATACTCTGCTCCAGGGGGCATTTTGCAGCGGTGCTGGCTCTGCTTTTTGGTTGCCTGCAATTCCCAGGATCAGACCCTGGGCTGTGTTCTTACTTGGGCTTCAGTGGGAGCGTGACTGCAGTAATTCACCACCACCGCGGGAAGTTCCCCGCGGTACGCTCAGTGGCCACGAGGTAGTACAGTTCTGTATGGCATCGGCATTGTAAATGTATCTGTGCTGTACTGACTGCACAGAAACCAAGGGTGAGGTAAGCCTGTGGTGTTGGAAATGTAACTGGACACCAAGGCTGACATGTGGGAAGCGAAGGAAAAAGGCAAGCTGAGCCTCTCTGAGGCACCCTGAGGAGCCAGGAGGCTTGTGGTGGCAGAGAACTTACTGTAGGAGATGGCCGTCTGTAAGACCTGTAATGTGTGAACAAAGCGTAGCTCACCCAAACAGCAAACCCACAGCATAGCTTTGAATTAAATATTGTACAGCAGGTCGAAAACAACTTCCAAAAGCGTGCAAGAGGCACGGAGCATGCGTGGCATGTGGGGTGCACTTGTATGCATGGGCATGCCCGTGCTGGGGATGGAGGGGGAGCGAGGGGCAGGGAGGGGCAGGCTTGATTGGATGTGAATAATGGGCTTGATTTCCAAGCTTTTCATCACAGAACCTCTTCCAGTCTGAAAACTTTCCCGTTCTTCCTGCCTTAAAGGAGATTTCATGGCAAAAACAATTCCAAAGACTTTGGCTGTCATCCAGGCATACTTGGAGCTGTAGTATTTTAGCTGATCAGCAGGCTCCTTTAATTTTTCTGTCACACAGCCAAGATCTGGCTGCATAAAGATAATCCCCAGTTCAGCTTTACCATCTGAGATGACTTTTCTTTAGGAAGGAGTGCTGTAGGAAAATGACCTTGGTGAATCTGTCATTTCTGTAGACCGCTAATGGATATTACAAAATCATCGGTCCAATTTTTATGTATATGCACACATATATGACTTCATAGATTGTATACCATACATGACGATATGCATTATTTATATCATATATTTATGTGTGTATATGTGACTTAATAGGTGTTTAATGAACTGGTGATAAAATCTACCTAAAAATAGTGGGTGACTAATATTTATATAAATTTATGTAGGTAGTGGGTAGGGAGACTCTTCCTTGTAGAGTCCCTCTTCCTGAGCCAAGTAATTTTTAAAAATTCCACTTTATTAAGCCATAGATTATTGTACACCTCTTTTTTAAGCAATAATAATGTGTCTTTGTATCCGTGGGAAGAAAAGCCATGTGATGGTGATCCATGTGAAATGAGGTTGAACTGTAACTCCCTCACTTTCTGGTCAAATCTGTATGTGTCTTCAGTAATTTTCTGATTAAGGGCACAATCCAGAAACCCTTATTCATGAAAGTGATCTGACTGCAGGCAACAGGTTTATTCCCCTTCAGGTATATTGTTTGTGAGAGCAGGATTCATGTACCCTGCAATTATAGAGGAACTAAACCAGAAGGTAAGGCCTCTCACAGCAGCTTGGTGGGATCGTAAGGTATCAGCAAGTACGTTTTGAATTTATTTGGGTTTTCTTAACATGTTTTTGGACTCTGAGCTCAGCTTCCTTGCTTGTCATCACTAAAACCTGGGGAGGAGAGAGCTTGCTGAGCGCAGCCTCACCAAGGCAGGGCTGAGGGCCCGGGGGGCTGCAGCTGCGTACTGCAGCACCTTCTTTGGAGAGCAGAGTATGGTGCAGATGTCACCCACCTGCCATAAAAACAGAGATTACCTAATATTTTCTTTCTTTCTTTTTTTTTTTTTTTTGGATGGGTGGTGGCTGGAGCGGGGCTCATGTCACTGAAACAAACAGTAGTATGAAAGGATTTGAAATCACTTTATGCATGACTTTTTCTGGACAGAGGTTTTACCCTTTCCTGTAACTGCACTGCTCAGAATCTCAGCTAGCTTTGGTGTGAGTTTTGTCCACTGATTGTTTTGCTAGGTCTTTGGTTTTGGTCATCAATGCATGTTGCTCATGTAAAGCAGTAATAACCAAGTAGTTGTGGTGGTCTGGATTACAGACATCTATACCAACTTCTGTTGGCAGCTACTTCATTGTATAAATTCCCATATAGTATCTGTCTAAGTGACAGGCTGAAAGGATGTCTTCAGCATGGTGGCATTATTTTCTGCAAAGCAGAAAAGTAGAAATGTGTTTGTGTCCAAAATTCCTCTGGGCTACAACACTACCTGTGTTATAATCCTAGAATTATTGTACGCTTGCACTTCTGCCCCCCGATGAGTTGTACCAAAATGACCCTTTGGTGGCATTCAAAACATGCAGCTTTTTATTTTACCTCTCTCTTTCTTTTTTTTTTTTTTTCTTTTTTTTTTCCACCTGGCCATAACGTGGTCACACCCAAAGGAGGGCTGTTGGCTTTCAAACGACAGGAAGGTGCACACGGTGTGCACTTGACTCCGTGACATTTTTGCACCTCCCATTAACCAGTGCTGTTACTTTGCAGATTTTTGTAAACACCACTGAACATCAAGTATGCGAGGAACTGGCCTCACTTGCTTTATTAGTAACCTGGAGGGATTTGTAAGATCTTCTGAAGAATGCAGATTTCCAGTTTATTATGCTCTTTTTATTTATTAGGAATTTTGTGTGGCTTTGTTGTTTGTTTGCTTTAAGAAAATATTTCTGTTCAAAATGAACATGACTCATACTCTGCCTGTGAGCAAATCAGGTCAGGAAATGATGCTGTATGCATAAACTAAGTTTACGTTTACTCACTTTTCCTTTACATCCTGTGGGGCTGCATTTGGCTTCCTTTCCCTCAAGTCTAAGAGCAGGCTCTTGCACATTTTCCCCAGAATCCTGTTCCTGGAGTAATATCTGCTGCTTGTCCTGTGCTCAGCTCGGTGGCGCTCCAAACCTGCTCCTGTGGTGGAACAACTGGCCAGGGAATACCACCTGAAGGTTGTGTTATCGCACAAGTGCCCATCCTTTCCCATTTTTACCCAAACCTCGCTCTAGGAATCCTTTTGCTGCTATCTTCACCTGAGCTTTGTGTGGCCTCCGCTACATCTGCTTGTGGCACCGTGTCATTGTCAGTGGGTCACTGAAGGCAAGTGCTGTTTCTCATTGAGCTCTGCCTCGTTGTGCCATTTTCTCTTCCTGAGACTCCAGAAGGTTTTCGTGCTGGCCAGGAGGTCTGTCCGTAGTGGATCAGTATTGTATGGAGGCTTTACCCTGGAAAATAATAATTTGAACAAGCTTCCAAAATATATCAGAGTATTCAAATGAGTTTAAATTCACTTTTTTTTATTATTATTAAACTTTCCAGCACAAGTGATACACCCGCCTTTCCCAAATTTACCAAAAAAATATAATTTATGAAGAGATAAAACCCAAATGTCACTGCTGCAAATCCAGGCTGGACCCAGATTTGTGCTGATCGGTGTGAAGGCAGAGTAGTTCCTGGAGCTCAGTGTCGTTATCCTGGGGGTCTGTAGATGCAAGGGGCAGTCTGTTTTCTTTATCCCAAATACCAAAATTTGCATCTCATCATTCAATCATCGTTAACTACAGGGAGATTTTCTGGATTTATGCAAGCGTGTCTGACAGGTTCCTACACTGCCTTGTGTTTTTACAGCTTTGAAGAGCCCCTGATTGCAGATAGGGATCTTCTTGTTCTTGGCAGCGTGCAAACAGTAAGCAGAAAAGGTGGTCCCTCCCCACTCCAGATAAACTCTGACCTACTTCAGGCTAACCCTGGGAAGAGCAAGCGCTGCTGGTGAGCTGCATGAGGAAGAGGACACAGAAGGGCTTTGTGTTACGGTTTGACGTAAGGCAAAGCACAGTCATGCATTAGCTCAGTGTTGATGACATTAGCCACTGGACATTCAGTCTCAGCTTCATGCCTTCAGATGTTTAATTTTTATTTATTTTTTCATAGAGAAACATCATATAAAACATCAGCTTCATCACATAACTCTGTGTAAAGAAACCAAAAATCCTCAGCAGTGCACTGTCCCCTGTCCTGACACTGGGTTTTGCTTGAACATGGATGTTGTAGACATTTTTCTTGGCAATTAGAAGAGAATCCTTTTTTTGCTTCCTGTAGTTATAATCACCATACTGTAGGTGCAGGAGCACATTTTGTGCTCCGGCTCCGATTACAGTGGCAATCCTGCAAGGTTATGGAGGACACAGGGGTCTGAGTACGACTTCAGAAGTAAGAAGTCTTAACGATGACTGATTAGTAAATAGGGAAAGCCAAGGGTCAAGCTCATGATTTTTCTGTGAGACCTGCTAGCCTTGATGATGGGTTGTGTCACTACATCATTTCTAACAATGTATGCAAGAAAAGAAATTCGGGCATTCGTCAAGCCGTGAGCAACAATGGAGTAAAAAGAAGTCATTGCTATAGATGTAACAGGAAGGCTACTTTTTATTCAGACTACTGTTGCAATACTCTCAGAAGTTACACACGTTGTATAGTGAAAAAGGTCAAAGCTGAAAATTGCTAAGTAAATTAGAGAACTGACATTATTCTGCTTTGAATCTCTTTTATCGCTTTTTGTGTTCTTTAATATTAGTAGAGGGGTAATAAAATATTCTAGGGCACACATTTACCAGCCTGGATTTGGCACAACTCCTTAATTTTCTGGGCAAAATAAGCTGGGCCACCTCTTTTGAGTGTCATGGTATTGACATCAGTGACCCCAGACAAACTGCGTTGATATGGGATTATGCCACCTTTCCCTGAATTATATGGGGGAAGGTTTGAAACATAGGTCTGATTGGTTTAATTTGTAAAATTAAACAAGTGGGTACTTTTATCTTGCCACTTCTCATTGAAGCAGTGAGTCTCAGTAGCTGGCACAGAGGCGTAAACGTTGTTGGGTTTTGTTCACGTCCTTGCCATTCATTTTCTGTGCAGGCTGAGCCACACACTTCTCTTTGCCCCTCTTTCCCAATCAGTGAAATGCACAGATACTGTGTGGTTTGAGATGTCTGGGCAGTGCCATTAGGGGCTAAATCCCGGGGCAGTTTCAGGAACCCGGAGGAGTCAGCACCACTGTGACTTAGTTGGGAACAGGCCTGGCTTGGCCCATGTGTGTGTCAGCAAAAAGCTGGCCTCAGGAGGGTAACTCTGAAACTGTGACTTTTCTACCAGTGGTAGTAACACAGTGAAATACCAGCAAAGATCTGCGCTGCTGAAGGAGCCGTGCTCTTGATGTAATCAAAGATGTACGTGCCTTCGGGTTGTTCCTGTGGTGGCTGAAGATCTGAGAGGAAATTAGGAAATGCGGTTGTGAAAGAAAAAAAAAATGTTGAGCAGAGCACTAGGAGCTGATTACCTTCTTTTCCACAGGGGGAGGGGGAAATGAAAAAAAGTGACTTTCTTCAAAGATTTGGAATAAGATCTATCTGACTTCAAAGGGAGTTGCTGCAAGGCTGGCTCAGTCACACCACATCCATCTCCTCAGGCAGAGCCAGGCTTGCCCCCTGGGCAGCACTGGGGTGCTCTCCTCATTTGTTCATATCAGAAGGCTGTGCTGACACAGGCTGGGTCAGGGCTTCCTCTTCCCTGTTACTACATCCATCACATGCGTAACAGGCTGGTGATCCCTTGCACCACGCAGGGGGAGCCCCTGCCTTGTGCAGGCAGCCACTGTGCGTCTGTCTCGGGGACTCAGTCCCGGGATGGTACCTCGGTGTGAATCAGAGCCTGGTTTCACCCCAGGATGCCCTCAGTACCTCGAATGCTGCGTGCCCTGTCCCTGAAAGAGCTGCTGCTGAAGTGCACCGCACTGATGTTGCCCTCTGTCCCAGAAGCTTGTTGTTCAAACTTTGATCTGAAGCGGGAGGGAATTAGGGATCTTTTTCTCCATGTGTTTTCTCCCCTCCACATGTCCAGACTGCTGCTCAGAGCAGGGGACAAAAGGGCAATGGCAGATATGAGGGCTGATATCTGGGGTGTGTGAAACATGCTGGTGCTGAGCTTGGGACAAGTTTGGTGTGGGTAAAGAGGTTAGGATGTGAGCAGGGGGTTGATGCCTGGAGTTACAGGGCAAGCAGGAAAACTGCTTCTGGGAGTAAGAAACCCTCTGCTGACTGAGAGTGGGTCTGAAGGAAAAGCTGGACTATATATTTGCCGCTACCTGGCCATTGGCCAAACTAAATATTCATATTTAAAACAAATTATCAGTAAAGTCATTGACCGTGCTGTCTAATCTAGATCTGTACAAGGGTCGGGTGCTGCCCCATCTCCCAAATTCCTGACTTCGGCATCAGGCGTTACATCTGCTCTTCTTTCAGAACTGCTGCTCATCCTTTAAAGCGCAGTGCTTGTGGCCTGGTTTTTCAGGTGTGTCCAAACTTTTGCTGCCCTTAGTGCAGTACATGGGGGGCTTTCTCTTCTTACTCTCTCCATGTTTCTCAGGTGGAGGTGAAAGCTTTCTGTCTTCCTCCCAAACTCATCTGTAAATCAGATGAGCTTATCTGAGTGCTTAAAGCCCTGGCAGGGCAGCTTGGTCTCAAGGTAAGGTAGTCACAGCTCACAGCCCAGCCTCACGCCACGAGACTTCTCTGAAGCAAAAGGAATTCCTCCTTACAGGTGGTTTTAGCACCAGGCTGTCTTTGTGCTGCAGAAGACGGCTCAGGGCTCCTCATTTCTTTGCTGCATCTTGGAGCAAACACACCTATATAAACAAGGCTTTCTGTGCCTAGATCCTCTCTCCAGCCAGGAAGAGGAGGGAAGAGCCAGCCTGGAAACAAATTAACCCTAAGCATTTTCCCTTTCCCATCTTACTAACAAATAAAATCCTTGAACTGACCCCAAAGTAGATTTTTTACCCAAAGGAGAGGGCAAGTGCCAGGGGTTCAGTGGACTTTTCCCAGTGCTGTTGGGTCAGTGCAGAAGATATTCCACCCATGGTGGCTGTGGTTGCTGGTGCAAAAAGGTGAGAGCTGCGTGTGGATGGGGTGGGCTTGGGGGAGTGGGGCTGAGCCACTGGTGAACTCCTCCCACTATGTGCATCTGTATCAGTGAGAAAGGGGGCAACAGGTACCTAATTACCAGGTACTGGTAAAATGGAAAGTAACTTTCCACCCACTGTCCTTAAATTACTTTGTAGGGCTTGTACATTCCCAGCTCTGTACATTCCCAAACCCATGTGCCTGGTGTAAGTGGGTAATGATGCAAAGGAAGCACCAGAAATCCTCACTGAATGAGCTTACAAAGCTAGCCAGGGGGAGTAGGGGTGACTCGAATACCTTCTTCCAACACTTTGCTGTAGCTAACATTTTGTTTGGGTAGTCATGGAGGTTTTCCTGCTAGCTGGGCTCGTAGAGGGGCAGAGCAAGGTGGTGGGTGCTACCTGTGGAGGCTGCAAGTTTGCTGGGAGATGTACCTGTGGCTGCCCTGATCCCCTCTCTTCTCCTGCTCTGGCTAATTGTGTGTGATGGACTGTACCAGAGCTCTTAAAACATTGCCCCCCTATCTCATTGTGGCTATTCCCTCTAGGTTTTTCTAGTTTTGCACTGCTGTTCAAAATGCCACAACCAGCTGAAAATCAGCACAGCTTTGTTTCTCATCCATCTTACCCAAGCACTAAGCACCCTTCTTCCTGTGTGCTTGAGAGTTTTGTTTTGCTTTGTTTAAAAGCGATAAAGCCTTCATAATAAAATCCAGGCTTGCATTTTAACCTGCTGGGACCTACCATGGAAAGGAGGTCATAAATAATTGTTATGGTTGTTGATTGCTTGCTTAAATGTACTGCTGCCAGAACATCCTTTCCTATCAGTCAGAAGGCATTTGGGGCCACCTCTGTTCAGCACTAACCTAGCACTCTATTACTCACTCCTGTCTCACCGGGGGTTTATTACTGATGGTTTTAAAACATTTTGATGGTAAAAGACTTCAGGTATGTGAGATACGGATACAAGCGATATACTCAAAATTTATCAGTCACCAAGATATTTTGCACTGGTCTTTTACTAATGAAAATGGAAGGACATTTCCTGCAAAATGGCAGCATAACTGGTAAGGGAGCATAAAAGGAGTAAGGAAGCTTGCCAGTGAACTGTACTTGTCCAGGGATTGTTGAGCCTTGTGTTGTTTAATAGAAGTCAATGCTGGTTTTGGATGTGCAGATAGAATCTGGCCTTCCACAGATTTGAGGAATTTGAGGCACCAAAATATAATGTCCAGTGAGCTAATACTACAGCATTTCCAGCAAAATAGTGCGCAGCCGCTTGGCCTTGCAACAGGTGATATGTGCAAGCAGCATGGCATGCCTGTGCATGTATGAGACTTCAGAAATTAAAATGATGTGCAAGTGAGGCTGGGAACTGCAGGGAAGAGGGCACAGGAACGGATCAGCAATGTTGCCTGAAGAGCTGAGCCGTGTCCTGCTGTGACAAGGTGACAAATGGCCACTGGAGGCTGAGCCGTGCTACCTCTCCAGCTCCTAGCGACTGCAGAGAGGGAGCTGCGTCTGCTGGGCTCCTCAGGTCGTGCTTGTTCTGTGCAACAACGCTGGATAGGCAGCTATTCAAGGCCATCTGGATGGGTTTGTCTGTTTAAGTGGAGTGTCAGCTCCGGGCTACGCTTGGCAACCCTCTTATCGCCCTGTACCACTGATAGCACCAGCCCAGGGATACCTCTGTAGTGCTTACTCATGTGGGTAGTTTTTATTCACTTCATACCTACGTTTCCTGTGTTTTACTGCACCATGTGAGGATGGATGTGAGCTGCCTGCAGGGCTTGGGCAGCCTGAATTGAAAGTTTCTGGGAAGTTTCCTTGGGCTGGGGTTCATCCTCCAACGTCCGTCCTAAGGTTTGGGATGGAGGCTTTGTCACGAGAACGATGGCTTTCCCTACCTTGCAGAAAGTCCTTGGTTTTCCTTCCTTATAACCTGGCTTAGCCCAGCAGCTGCACTTGAGAGCTGTCATTTCTGATTTCTCTCTCCTGGCTGGCAGCCATGATCCTGAGAGCCGCTGTGGGAGAGCTTCCCAGTCCAGACGTGATAGTGGCCCTCCAGGGGACCCTGCTGCCCTGTTGCAGAGTAAGTGGATGCTTTTAAGTAACCCAATGTGTTGGTGTCAAAAGTCCTTGCTGGCTTGCTTTTATTCAGCCTGGGGTTACCCGGCAGTGCCAGTGTCAGATCTGCCCTCTTACTGGTTACCTAACATAGCCCCCTACAGGAGCCTGCATTAAAAGTTGTTTTATATGCTGCCTCTTTCAGCTAGGTCCACAGTTTACCAAGGTACTACTGGGAAATGTCTAGCCCTGATCTTTTCTAATGCTATAGGACAAGTACTAACTTGGGGACTGCCCCATTGTGCTGGTGTGGGACATGTGGCATAGCTGTCCTGGGGAGCGGGCTCCTCCTGGGAAGCGTGGCTGTGGTGTGACAGCAGTGCGCAGGGTGCCGATGCACAGACCCCTACTGGAACAAAAAACAAATTAGTAAGCAACGATTAAGACCTTAAAGCAAATGCTCATTAAGAATTTGTGTCTGCCCTGCCAAGATCTTCCTATTCACAATCCGAAGGTTTTGCTGTTGCCTGGAAAGTACTCCGGTATTACGATGACAAATAGCTTGCAGAAGTTTGGGATAGGTGTACCCTTAGGTGCCTGGTGCTTTAGTTATGATGTTAAAACGCTGTTAAGGTGCATAGTCTCTATGTACTGTACTTATTTGCGAGCCTGTTCAGTCAGGGTAAGATTGCCAACAGCATGCTTCTTGTAATACACAATAAATGTTCGTTCATTGTCTTTTGCATTATAAAAACAAGGAGTTCCGTTTGAGGAGCGGGAGTTGTGAAAGCTCCCTGCTGAAGTAAGGAGCTGTATAATGCTTGGCTAGACACTATGAAAATTCTTTTGCTTAATGTAACAAAAAAGAGAACCCCCTCCCCTTCTCTCCTTCTGCATCTCAGTTGCCTCTCTTCAAAGACCCTGCTGCAAAGCTCATGTAACCATCTCCTGATAAGTTGCTAACCTAGTGTATCAACATCTTGCCTTCCTGTCTCACGCTGGGCCAACATGACCAAATAAAAAAAAAAAGAAGTTGAACCACAACGCCGAGGAAGACTACGGCCTTCATCTTCACGACCACCAGAGGGACAGAGACGACCCCCTAGCAACAGTGCGCACAGTCGCAGAATATACCAGGATCCCGGAATCCGTAAAATCACCATCACGTAATCCCGGAATCACCAAAATATAAAAAGGGACCCTGGGGGGGGTGAGGTGCGCGCCGTTGGCGGAGCTGAGACTCCCCAGCCACCCAGAGCTGTTTTGCTTGCTGTTGCTTACTCAATAAATTCCTTTCTATTATTAATGCAATGCTCTCTGAAAATTAATTAAGGGGGCAACTTATAACACTTCTGAGTTGTGCAGAGACCTTTTGATTAAACATCACTCCTTAAGCTTTCTGAATTTCATTTGCACTATGTACTTTCAGGTGGTGTCCTTATAAACGAGAATATTCCCCACTTTTGGGGTCATTTGACAAGCTTGGATATTGGTTTAACATTTTGTTTCTTTCCACTCAACCCAACTATTCTTGTCACTTGTGAAATTTGTAGAAAGCTTAATATTATTAAATACACACTGCTTTCTAAATAAGTCTGCTTCAAGCGCAGGCACACAAGTTGTGAATGAATAAAGCAGATAAAGGAACATGACGGTCTAGAAGCTGGAATCATATTGAAAATGAAAGTTTCGCAACAGTCCTGAAACAGAGCATATGAGTGCTAAACTTATTTCTAGTACTTGCAAACAGGGAGGAGAATTACTAATCCTGACTAACCTACCCAAGAAAGTGCTTGCTATGACCTGAAGGACTGAAAAAAAATCCATTTGCTTGCTTTGGAAAAGAATCTATTTTTCCGTGTAGAAGGAAGCTGGACAGAAATTTAACTGCTGGGGAAGAAAGGGGAATTTAACAGGGCTGCAAATCCCCCTCCGTTTTCCCTGCTGACCACATCTTCTCACTCTTGGCCCTCTTCCCACTTTCCAATAAAAAACCAGACCCCAATATGAGGTTTTATTGAAAACAAACAAAAAAACAACCAAACAAAAACTTTCCCTAACTAAGAAGCTGGAACAATTTTGTGCCAGAAAGTTACTGGCAGAATGAGCAAATGTACATTAAGCTAATGAGGGTGTCCAAAAGGAAGGAGGAAGAATGAACTCTTTTTTTGTTAGGGCTTTCAGATTTGGGGTTGCTGGCTCAAAGAGGAAATATTAAGCAGGTTGGAGATGGCCCGTCTTTTTACCAAACCTTGCTGTGTTGAAAGCCAGGGAAAAGTCGTTTGGGGTTTCAGTGGAAGTAGGGCTGAGAATGTCAGGCTCACTGAGGTCCTGAGCACCAAAACTTAGCTTGTGTCTGTTCGACCGGGAATCATTTGTGAAATATTTCCATACACAGCAATAATTAAATGCATTTTAAAATCGGAGTGTTTTCTGAAAGATACAGGTAACTTCTTATTAATTTGAAACGGTGTTTTTGACCTTTGCTTTAAATTCATGTCATGTTTTTCTGTCTTAAGGATAATTAACTATTTAATTACATTTACAGTTGTGGTCTCGCATGAGTCAGAACCACCCAACCCATGGAAGTGTCTAGCGTTTTGCCTCCCAGGAGTTAAAGTGCTCATTTTCTGGCCATAGACTGCCCAGGTTGGTGAGGAGGCCCTTTCCCATCCACATGTCCTGTCGCAAAGTCCCTGCTTGGCCGGTCTTCTTAAGTCTGCTTCTTTTGCACTGTTTCTGCTGGGGTGCAGACAAGTTTCTGTGTATATGTGTGTGTGTGTGTGTGTGTGCATGCATGCACTTGTCTATGTGAGGAACATTCAGACACATAGGTTCCATGTGGGAAGAACAGAAAGTTATATGTGCTCTATCACCAGAAAAGCTCAATAATAACTCCTCCTTGAGAAATTGCTTTTGTGACGAAGAGTATGGATACCTGAAGTTTTTAAATCGTCAGAGAAACTTTGTTTACACCCATTTGCATTGGCATTGTAAAACTGTGGGAATCATTTATGGATGTGGCAGTGATTTTTTCACTTGTTGGAGAACTTTCCTGTTAAGACATAAATGTTCTTAAGTTATAGGTGCATTTAATATCTGATTGTACAAAGAGTACATATAACTACCAGCGTGGAAAATGAGTGCCATCTTACTTTAGATAAAACCCCACTAAGCAGCAATAGATCTTCCAGGCAATACACTGCACCCACTGTGAATTATTTATATCCTAATCTAGTCTCTGTTGAAGCTAAGGGAGAGATTTTCATCACCTCCAGAAGAAGCTGAACCTATTAGCTAGCACCAGTATTCATGTGCATTGTCACATGAAAAAAAATCGAGTTGTTACTAGTTCCTGTAGTGATAATGAGGAGCCCATTGCTGTATGTGGCCTGGTGTGGTCTTGTTGAAAAAGGCTGAAGGTGATCTCTGTGTTTTTATTCCATCATTTTACTTCCATTTCACAATTCTCATCAAATTAACGTCAGAAATGTCCTCAGGGTAGCAACCCTATGCTAGAGTAGGTGATGACAAATTTCAGGAAACATCTGTTGCCTTGCTTTGGCTGGGCAGAATTTCCTGAAGTTTAGGAAGTTGTAGTTTTTACTCCACGTTATAAATGACTGCATGAGGCTGCTGGACACTGGCAGATTTTTGTGGCATTCTCTAGGAGATCAGAGTGGGAGGAATAATTTTCTGCATGGGTCAAAACCATGCCCGACACTGCTTTCTGGGAATGTGATAAAGGTCCTTTCATCCCTATGAGAGCCAGGCCTCTGATAACTCAGCAGAGTTTGTGAAGGGCTGCTCTGGGCTTTATAGCCTGGGCCTTGAAAGGATTTTCTTCTGTGCTTAGATAAGAATGGAGAGGAAGTTGCATTCTCCAAGCCTTTGAACAGAAGAAAAGAGAATATTGAGTAAACCGAATGAAAATGAATGAACTCACGTTTTTTAAATATTAAAAATAGTTATGTTTTGGCTTCAGCAGTTCCCACTGACAGTTCAAGACCAGCCTGTGCTCAGTCAGAGGGACTTGCCAGAGGATGCAGGTACTGTGACATTGCTCTCCTTTCCACTCCCATTCGAAGGATGTGCACAGCGTGAGGCTGTGCAGGGTGGGCGCTGCAGCTGAAGGCAGCGTGGAGCTGTGTCCACACAGAGAATAAAGCAATTGATACAAGGAAGGACATATTATCCCACTTTTTGGACAGGTTGCTAGCTCTTGGGTTGTTTTTTTCTGTTATCTGTTTTGTTATCAGCTAATCTCTAAGCTGTTATCTAAAGGTTACCTCCGTATGATAATGCCGGTTGAGGTGCATTATGCAGAGAGGGCTGAGGGAAGTTTGCATATGCACTCCCGTAAAGTGAAAGAGCACATTTGCAGTATTTTAATGTCAGGTCCCCAAGGAGAAGCAGTAGGATGTGGAGCCTTTCAGGATAGCTGTGATGCTCTAAACAACTGGGAAGTTTGGGGGTTAGCTCGAGGGAGTGCTAGCACCTAGCCAACACACGCTGGTTTTAGTAAAAAGAGCAGTACCCCTATTTAACCTGGTAGGTGTGCGGTTGGTAACACAAGCACAAAAACAAGAGAGCAAAAGCTGCCCTATCTGTGCTGATTAGGTAATTTTCAGTTCATCACAACTCAGTCAAGCCAAGCTGCTTTCTGCTGCATTCCTCAACAATTTGTGCCAAATCATGTTTCAACCACGAGCAATTTCAGCTGCAAGTCTATTTTAATCTTGCTTTTCTTTTTTTTCTTTTTTTTTTTTTTTTTCCTAATGTTGTCAGCACTGCACACTAATGTCCCTGGGTCCTTATTCTCCATGGTCACTTCGAGTGAATAAAAGCTAAAAAAAAAAAAAATCTTCCCCAACTGTGTGTTTTTTGAAATTCTGTCATCAAATCCTCATATTGTGAGAACCACAACTCCACCTAGCACAGTACCTGCTGCCTGTCACACAGGTGAGACGAGAATGCGAATGGGGTTTTATGTTTGCCCACCTACGTGACCAGCAGACGCATTTCCCTGTGACCTTGGGGCGAGCATTGCCACCTGTTGCCCTTTTTACACAAAAGCAGCGTGTGCCAGCATGCAAGAGCCAGCGCTGACCTCTCCCTGGAGAAGCAAATAGAGCCCTGGTGGCAGTTTTGGAGTATAAGAAATGCTTGTGACTGGCACGAGAACCCCGTTTGTCACCTATTGTCATTTCTACCACCAGCCCTCGCCTGCCGGCCTTGCAAGTGCCACCCCAAGGTACTTGCATCCCGAAATACCCTTACCCCAAGCTGACACTGCAGGCAGCGCAGGGAGCAGAGGCTGAATTACCCTTTAACATTCATCAGTTGTATGATTTCTCTTCAAACATATTTATAATATTAATTTACTCTGGTTCTGTTTCCTTAAACGACACCTAGAAGCTCAAGAAGGGCATGGACCATCATCTTTATCAATTCTTACAACAAAAAGCAAGACTCAAATGTCATAAAAGCATTGAAGAAAAACTAGTGCTGAGGAAGCCTGGGTAGGATTTTGAGGTGCTGCTAGGCAAACTAATGAAGGGGAATAAAAGATCATTCAACGGAAAATGTAGAGAAGCAGAGATGAAGCAAATGGATGCTGAAAAATAAACGAACAAGTAAGATAACCAAGTAAATGTCTCTTCTTGTAGTTTAATACGGGCCAAATAAAGGACAAAAACAGTAGGAAGTATGCAGTAAGGAGTAAGGCTGGATACCTGCTTTCAGGTCACCTTGTTATCAGGTGACTAAGAGAGTTAAGTGTGTCAAGAAACACAAGGAAATAAGTTTAGGAATGAGAGAAGAGGAAATAGGAAGACATGGTGGGCACTGTGAAATGTCGGTGTGAATGAATACTGCATGGGTAAGAGCAAGGATCAGCCAAACAGTTTAAAATGAGCCATTGATATGGAGCACTGCAGTGCTTACTGCTGGAAGACAAGTGAACTCATGTTATATCAAAACTGGTTCTGATTTAAAAAAAAAAAAAAAAATCTGGCTAAATATCCCCCTAATTCCCAAAAAGGATAGACTTTTTTCTTAGAAAAACTGTTCTAGCTGGAAAAATGGAAAAATGCACATCAACCCTTCTTTGTGCCTGGAACAGAAGTGGCAACTTAGAATTAAGCACTTCTTATGGCACATGCTTGGGTGCCTGTCCCTGTTTTGCTAGTGACTCACTGATAATGGATCTTGCTATAGGTCATGCACCCCAGGAGTAGTCCTGTTGAAATCATTAGAAATGTTACTCTCGGTTGGAGCAAGTACGGGACTTTACCCTGTGGGGCACAGGGGAGCACAGTGCAGAGATCCTGACCTAGCTCCTACAGGATGGCACGTTCAGGGTGAAACAGTGGACCTTTGCAAGGGAAACTTGTGCGTGTGTTGCTGAGCCATACCGTTTTCCTTTTGTTAGAAGAGGACAAGAGGATTTATTGACAAATATTGAATATTCTGTGATAGATGACACTGCTGGGTGAGATACATGACAAGTTGGCTCTTGAAGCTTGTAGTATGCGTTGAACTCTGTAGTAAAAGAAACTGGATGTGGAAGAAATATCCAAATGGATGATGAACTTTAAATCTTATTCACTCATATTTTCCTGCTGAAAAGGCCATTCAGCCTCACAAAGAGTTACATGGTCAGGTAGGTTTAATGCTGAGGGAGAACGTGGAGCCTTGGCTTTAGGAAAGCCACCCAGACAAGCAGCATGGTGGTTCCACACTACCAACAGATTTTGCCTTTTGCTGTCCCTCATCTATCAGAGAACCAAAAGAAGGGAAATTCTGGGCTGTGAAATGGGTCCTCCTGGGCCAGTTAGCACTAAGACCCCATGTGGTCCTGTGCAAAGGTAGCTCATTTCCAGCCCATCCTACCTGTTTCAGCCCCACATCGGTCCTTCTGGGCCCAACCTGGCTCCAGCCACTGAAGCACTACTTTCTTTTTTCTTCTTTCAGATAAGCTGTGTAGCTGTTATCCTCCTTTCAAGCACCTGTTTGTACAAGTGATTTTTTTGGAGACTATTTGAATTAAAACCTCAGAAATATGTAAGAGATACAGTCATGCAAAATTTGCGTCTTCACACAGAGGTTAAACAGCCTTGAAATAAGATCTGCCACAGAAGATCAGGGTATGGTAAAGTGAGGTCTCTGAGGTGGGTAGCTGGGGTTGTAGGTGTCAGCATTGGGATGGGACAGGATGGGATGGGAAAACACCAGGTCAGAAGGGAAGG